GCCGCGAAGACACGCGAGGCCATAAACCAGGCTGGGAAACCCTCAGGATAGCTATGAATGACAGCAATCAACACCTCAATCAACTGGGATGGCAAGGACTGTAACTCGAAAGCTGTGATGCCGTCAGGGCCTGCAGCCGCATTCCATTTCAAGTTACGAATGACCTGTTGCCATGTCTCCAGACTGGTGGAGTCAATCTGAAGCTGGTGATTTGGGAGCAAACTCAAGAAATGTGTGAATTCAGCATCCAAGGCAGGATCAAGCAAATGAGAATCATCTCGTTGCCAGATTGGTTGCCAAAATTGCGAGAGTTGTTCACAAATCTGTCTAAGATTGGTAAAGAGAACATGTTGTGTCACACGAACATTCTCAGGATCAGCAATGCGTTCCTTGCACGAGACAATTAATGAATGCTCTCGAATGTCACGCAACCAACCCTTATGATGATCCAATTGAATGGCCTGGCCAACTTGGAATTCTGATGGGTTCTTAACATAAGCTTCGAATTGCTCAGGCGTCTTGGACTGGATCCTTCTCGGCAAAGGAACCACAATTGCAGTCTGGCATACTTGAGACTCCACTGACTCCGACGTGGGAGTGGGGCCCCGGACAGAAGCGAAAGTGAGTTTATTATGACCTAGGCGCTTATCCAGCTGTAATCTATAGTTCAATTCTCTTGAAAGGCCTTATTATCAAGAGTGATCGAGCTTTGCACTGCGTGTTTCCACAGTTGAGTCAAATCATGCAGCCATGAGAGGGATGGCAGATTCCAAGTTGCTCCGCGCACTACAGTTGCACTACAAAGTCGCCAGTTCTCACCTTCCAGCTCCCCAGATACTCCGCGTACTAAAGTTGCACTACAACTTCGCCAGTTCTCATCTTCCAACTCCCCAGATGCTCCGCGCACTAAAGTTGCACTACAAAGTCGCCAGTTCTCAGCTTCCAGCTCCACAGATTGCTCCGCGTACTAAAGTTGCGCTAGAAACTCACCAGTTCTCATCTTCCAGCTCCCCAGAGACTCCGCGTACTCAAGTTGCACTACAAAGTCGCCAGTTCTCAGCTTCCAGCTCCACAGATTGCTCCGCGTACTAAAGTTGTTCTACAACGTCGCCAGTTCTCATCTTCCAGCTCCCCAGATACTCCGCGTACTAAAGTTGTACTACAAAGTCGCCAGTTCTCAGCTTCCAGCTCCACAGATTGCTCCGCGTACTACAGTTGTACTACAAAGTCGCCAGTTCTCATCTTCCAGCTCGCCGGATACTCCGCGTACTAAAGTTGCGCTAGAAAGTCGCCAGTTCTCATCTTCCAGCTCTCCAGATACTCCGCGTACTAAAGTTGCACTACAAAGTCGCCAGTTCTCAGCTTCCAGCTCCACAGATTGCTCCGCGCACTACAGTTGTACTACAAAGTCGCCAGTTCTCATCTTCCAGCTCCACAGATTGCTCCGCGTACTAAAGTTGCACTACAAAGTCGCCAGTTCTCATCTTCCAGCTCCCCAGAGACTCCGCGTACTCAAAGTCGCCAGTTCTCAGCTTCCAGCTCCACAGATTGCTCCGCGTACTAAAGTTGCACTACAAAGTCGCCAGTTCTCATCTTCCAGCTCCCCAGATACTCCGCGCGCTAAAGTTGTACTACAAAGTCGCCAGTTCTCATCTTCCAGCTCCCCAGATACTCCGCGTACTAAAGTTGGACTACAAAGTCGGCAGTTCTCAGCTTCCAGCTCCACAGATTGCTCCGCGTACTAAAGTTGTACTACCAAGTCGCCAGTTCTCATCTTCCAGCTCCCCAGATACTCCGCGCACTAAGGTCGTACTAGAAAGTCGCCAGTGCCTGCATTTCGCGCGCTCGACGCGCACGATCTCCGCAGAGGCTTACGCGGGCGCCGGACAAATCGCACTCTCGCCTGCATTTCACGCACTTGACACGCACGATCTCCGCAGAGGGTTGCACACGGACCGCGCCAATCGCACTCTCGCCTGCATTTCGCGCACACGACGCGCACGATCTCCGCAGAGGGTTGCGCGGGCACCGGACACATCGCACTCTCGCTTGCGTTTCGGGCACTCGACACGATCTCCGCAGAGGGTTGCACGCACACCAGACAAATTGCACTCTCGCCTGCATTTCGAGCACTCGACACGCACGATCTCCGCAGAGGGTTGTGCGGGAACGGGCCAAATCGCACTCTCGCCTGCATTTCGCGCACACGACACGCACGATCTCCGCAGAGGGTTGCGCGGGCACCGGACACATCGCACTCTCGCCTGCATTTCGCGCACACGACACGCACGATCTCCGCAGAGGGTTGCATTTTCGGTTGACGCTGTTCGTCCCACCCTCCGCCTTTAAGAGAGAATTTATAAAGTGGGGAAATGTTTTTCATTAGGACATCTCCCGTGCAAGTTTTCCATACTCACACTTGCATACTCATTGCATACTCATTAGGACATCTCCCGTGCAAGTTTTCCACACTCACACTTGCATTCTTTTGCACTTGGATACTTGCCGTTGGATGCTTTCACTCTTCCACTTACACTGGGGTACGTATAGAAGTGTAAGTGTTCATGTTCATGTTCAAGTCTAAGTGTGGAAGCGTAAGTGTTCAAGTGTACGCGTTGAAATGTCAGTGTTCAAGTGCAAGTGTGGAAGTGTCAGTGTGTGAGTGTAAGTGTAGAAGTGTCAGTGTTCAAGAGATTTTCCGGAAGAACCCTTCGCAATGCTTTCGGGAAAAATAGAACACGAAAGGGCACCCGAAAAGAATTGTCCAAAGCTCTAAAGAGCCAAAGATGGACAAAAGATGAAGAGCCACAGGTCACAGGTCTAAAACGTTTCTTTCTTGATTGTGACATTTTTTTGAGAAATGCCCAAGACTCGAAACCGTGTCTAAGGCAAATCATCGATGAGGTGTGAGGCGATGTGGGGCGATGTGAGGCTGTGAGGTGTTCACGTCAAAGGAACCTGGACGCCTGGCACTGCGAATGGAGAGGAAAAGAAGTTGAACAGGAAGATTAAATTTTGGTCATGAGGGGTATATCAATGGTATGGTTACTGGTCGAGGATTCCCCCAACTCGAGCCCATGAGAGCCTTCTGGGTTTGGTCATTCGTTGCACCCGACATCCAGTAGCTGTTCTTTGCAATAGTGTCATGTGCGAAATGACAACCTTCAAACTTCTCACTAACACTAAGCTGCGAATCGATTTTTCTCAAGTCAAGTGTGGGCCAGCCTTACTTTGAAGATTGCATGATGCATGGTGCATGCAGCATGTGTCGATGGTCGGGTTGGAAAACCAGTCTGAGTTAAGTGGGCCAAGTCGGCGAGGTCACCAAAGCCCGACCCATGCAGTTTCATTTTCAACGTCGCATGATCCAACCACGACAAAGGTTGCGGAGGTTTGACAGTCGCCAGCCTGATGCAAGCGGCGCAAATCGGCATGCACAAGCGGCTGAAAGCTGCGGGGGGGAAGACCTGTTTGTGGGGAAGGTATCGTGCGAAACCACCATGGAAGCAAACCACGGAAAATTGGGGTGACAGCTTGCGAAAAAACTCTGCAGGTACGCAGTTGGACGTCTCCAACTGTATCACAGGTGACTGATGAGTGTCTTTGTTAGCACCGGTCTCATCAGCCCCTCCGGTGCCCCCTGCCTGTGAAACTCCCTGTCTCGGTGGAAAAGGTGGTGAAAGTGGCGAAGGTGGAAAAGGTGGTGGTGGTGGTGAACCCTTGGCCCAGGGGTTGACACACACACACACACAGGCGCGCTCCACATCCGAATGAAACAACATAATTTGAAAGAGAACAGCAAAACTGGACTAAGATTATGTTCACACGCTTGAACACATTTGCTTTCTTATTTTGTTTCCAAGGATTTCATTTCCAAATGGATTTAGTTTCCAAGCCTTTGGATGCAATCTCCTAAGCCGGTGTATTTTATTTCCAGACTGCATGGATTTCATGATATCATTCCAAACCAAACCCTGGATTTTATAACCAAACACGTTGGATTTGTTTTTATATGTGCTTTGTATTTCTACCTGTGTCGTCCTTTCTCCTCAAGCCACTGCAAGTGAAGGAATTTCTTTGCGGACAACTGCAAATTTTGGACATTGCAATGCTCACTGTTTTTCGGGCACACTTGCACAGGAATTGATGGAATTTGTTTCTCCTTAAACCTCATTCTAGTCGGTATCAACGCAGTGAGTGATATCAACCTTAGTTCCCGACATGTGCACAGAGATGTGTAAAGACGCTCAGAGATTTTGCATGGTCAACCTTTCACATGATTTGTTGCAATTTGATGAACTTGAACAAGTTATTTGAATACTCTTATGACTACACATCATGAAATGTCCGGCTCACGTAAATGGCGTGGTGCACTTGCATGTGTCCTTTGGGCAAGTGTGGTTGCATGTTTTTTTGACAACAGAGACAGCAAGAAATCCACCGCGTTCATTGAAACTACGTGGTCTACCTCCTCGTGCTGACGCGGGCGAAACAAACAGTTTTTGGGTAGCCTTGCAAAAAGCCGCCAATAGGAACAAGACTGATGCCCAGACCTATGTGGAGAGGATCATTGCGCATGCAAAAAATCACGTGAATTCCAGCAAGGTTGTTGACAGAGATGATGCGATACAGGCTTTGGTGCGGTCAATGAAAACGCCAGAGTTGCTCTTGGTTTTGGGGGGGCAAGCATTTGGGGAAAACATTTCTCAAAGGTGAGGCAATCAAGAGATGCAAAGAAACGGAAAGGAACATCGACATCGTTTCGGTGGACATGCGGGATGGTGATATGAGTGGCAAACCTTTAATGGCAGCACTCGACCTGCAACGTCAAAAATCTCTGAAGTGGTCAACTCGGGCAATGGAAGTTTTGGGTGCAGTGATCCGGCCCTTGTCTTGGGGCAGGGAATACAGTGGAGCCGAAAAGGCAGCAAAGGGTGTGTTGGATGTCGTTGTCCAAGCAAAACAAATTTTACATTCATAACTTCATCAACAAGACCATCAGGAGTGGTAGGATCCCCAGCCTCATTGTGGACGAGGCGAATGTGGCGCTACCTGGACTAGATAACGTTCCGAATACAGCGGCCAAGTCAGCTCTAGCGGCCATCACAAAATGGACCAAGCAGACAAACCTAGCAAGTGTAATGTTGATATCTTCAGACTTTGGCTACCCGTTTCGTTTGCTGGCAAGTGGCTTGGACTTGAGCACCATCAGCAAAGTCATTGTCATTGGGGAAGTACCAGAGGTTTCCATGCTAAAGATGCTGAAAGATGATTGGGGCATGGATACAGACTTGGCAGAGATGTTCTACAACTACTTTGGCGGCGACATTTACACCACCAAGAAGGCTTTGGACAGCCTCATGGAGAAGAAGGATAACTTCGACCCCTTTGCAGTTGTGCGATGTCCCGGGCTGCCTTCGTGTGTGGAAGATGCAGCGGCGAGGGCTCACCTTGAGAACATCGCTAAGCAAGGCTTCTCTTTGGTGAAGAATGTGGAGACAGACGGAGGTGCAAAAATGATTGCGGAGAAGAACGTGGGCGGGGTCATCGACAAGGATGCCATCACCTTCGGTTTACCCACCATCTTCACTGGCGCAGACACGGAATGGGCTGTCATCCCCTCGTCTTATCATATGAAGCTGCTGATTGCCCGTAAGCTCCAACAAATTCCTTTGCCAACATCAGGACGGTGTTTCAGAAACTGTTTTTTTGGTTCTGTTTGCTTACACTGTTCCACAAGGAGGCTGACAGAGGTTGAATAAACTTGTTGAGGTTTATATAGGTGCACAATCATGAGGTTGATAGATAAAGCGATGCAAGCATCCATACCTCCTCCCTGCAAGGTGGCACTGCGACTGCACCACCAGCTGTTTGGGTGAGACAAATCCGCAAGGACTGCAGAGAAGTGCATTCAATGACTGTGTAAAAACATTTTGTTTTAGCAAAGTCGTTGCTCTGACCAAAGCAGTGCACTGATGACTTTCGGACCGTTCGGTTGAAGATAATAATAGCCGTTCGTTCAGGTTCATGCTCTTTTCCCCCAAACTAAAACAGTGATTAAGGGTAAGTCCACGGTGCAAGACAGTAGACTGTCGTGCTATGAACTTGGTAGGGTTCCGGACTTTTTGGGAAAGGATTGCAGGGTTGTTCGTTCCTCAGGATTTGTTCAGAAATGTATTCCAAACATTTTCCTTAAATTGATAGAGAGGATTTAGACTAAAGACTTTGTATGATTTTCTGCCATGCCCTTGTTCCTTTGCTATGCCCTTTTGCCTGTCCCACCTCAACGTCTCACCTTTTGAGCGATGCAGCAAGTGTTGAACAAGCAGCCTTGTCATCCCTATATTTGTTCCTTTCATGTATTGCTTTGCATGGTTCGTGCGCTAAAACCGGTGTTGATTGGTCGTGTGAAAAAAGTAGGGTTGTGTTGTGTTCCATCATTTCTCCCACTCAAGCGTCAAAAGCATTGTTATTTGCAAGAGCCACTGCAACAGTTGATGCCATTGTTCCCTTACGAAGTTCCTCTGACTAGTGTTAGGTTAAAATACAAGTGTTTTTTTCAGCCTTCTTTCTGGCATCCTTTACCTTGTCACGTTTTGTTTCAGCACGGTTGGGCGATTGCATGGTTGTTTATTTGGATGTCTTCCAATATTCAACTTCGAAAGGACTTAGACGCAACATATTGTTTCTTTGCTCTTTGCTTGTTCCTTTGCCATGTTCTTTTGAGGGAAGTACTGTAAATGTTTTTTTTGCATAAACACTAGCATATTTATTCCTCAGGATTTGTTGAATGATATCTTCCCAACATCTTCCTCAATTTGATAGAGAGGATTTTGACTAAAGACTTTGTATGATGTTTTGTCATGCCCTTGTTCCTTTGCTATGCCCTTGGAAAGTAAATGCCATTAGCGCACGGTTGGAAAGGGTTGAGTTTGAATGTGCTGTTGACCTTGCAGGACGACAGCGGTGGCTTTGAGTTCGTCGGCAATGCATTTCAAGTCAAGGATAAGGACGCCACAAAACTGACTTGAAAGCGCAACAGTTTGGAGAGCGTGCATATCGAACTGTACTGAATGACATTTGCGTCAGGACGTGCAGAACATAGACGATCCAAAAAAAGTGCTGACCTCAAACAGAATTTCTTTCATTTTTTTGTGGAACATTTTTCAGAAGAGAAATGACAAATGTAAAGCAGAGCGTCCGCATCTACAACATTTGCTGTGAGTTCATGGTTTTGCATTCATCTGCAATGCTGTGCCTTAGTTGAGTAGACAAAGCAGACAGTGATTAAAACCGGAGGATGTTTGATTGAAAGCGTGTAAAAGTATGAAAAAGAGCATGGGTGGTATTGTCGGTTTGCTCTGAGGTGATTGAAACCGCAGAAAAGCTATCCATCGCACCTTCCAAGATAGAAATATACAGCCAAGAGGACTGCCATTTTCTGCGCCAGCAACTTCTTTGCTAGTTGCAGTTGCGTTGGTGACCTGCCAGTTTGAATGCTTTCTCCGCAGGATGGCAAATGGAGCAAGGAAGGGAAGATGAGTGCACCTCTTCGTGATAATGATGAAGACGCTCCTTATGGCTACATTGTGCCATAGAGGCTGGCTTCTTACTGAGACAATTGGTGATCTGCAATCAGCCATGTGACTATTGTTGTCACTAGTTCCAAACGCCTTGTTGAAGTGCGGGGGTCAACTCGGGTCAACCAATCATTCAGGTCGGACTGCTGTGGATACCTCATTCCGTAGAGGCTGGCTTGCGAGCAACGTGTGCAGTGTGGCAATGCTTTTGTAGGGAAATGGTGCATCGAGAAGCAGTTTTGCTTTGTGAGGCTCTTGGCGACCTGACTGTGAGCAGACAGTTTCACTATCAAATTGTGACTTTCTTTTGCTCCGCGCATGTGCGTCTTCTCCATTGTAAGATGCGTATATATAATATGTTTTGTTGTGGCAAGCTTTGCACTTTGGTTTTGTGATTGTGCGATTTTTACTTTCTATTCCTTTAACGGATGATGATACTAAGATACAAAGGCGGCGTATTAAACTGGGAAACAACGAGTTGTAGAGGCAACTTGCCACAAACGATCGGTGAGCAGCTGGTACAGAAGCCACAGAGCTGGTCAGCACAGAGTTTCACCCAAATGAAGCAACGCCAAAAACGGAGTGGCAAAAGCTAGTGGAAGTGGTGATTGGTTTGACGGATGGATTTGCGCACGCAAGCGCCGTTGTCGTTTTGACTTTGGCTAGTGTGAAATGACAAGATGGGAAATGGAAAATCGAAGGAAAATCTGGAGAAAATTTGTGGAATGCAGTTCTTTCTGGTGTTCTTATCCTTTTGGACTGCGCGCGCTTTTCCTAAATTGAAGCAATAGCAGAAAATACGTTTTAGGAGAAGACTGGCTCTGTTTGAGCAAAAAAAATGGCTCCGGCTTTGGGCATTAAAGCGGTTCCGTTTTTGAGAAAATCTGCCACGGATTTTTGGAAAATCAGCTACCGACTTTGGGGAAATCTGTCACCGACTTTGGGAAAATGAGCCACCGACTTTGGGGAAATC